CCTGCCAAGAAGACCTTAGAGGCCGCCACACTTCTCGTAGAGTGAGCCTTGACCCTAAGAGGTCACAGATAGCTCGCAAGTGTCTGTTCTACCCGGGGCATCGTCTTGTAACCGCGCTCATTCATCCCCGCCACATTGCCATAATAATCGGAGGCGGGAATAAAGAGGCGGGCCGAGAACGGTCTTCCCCATGACTTCGACACCTCGGTGTGGAGGTCGGGGAAAAAAGGCAGGCTCCGGCGCGGAGGTGGTGGCTTAACACGCAAAAAACGCTTGTCTAATTTACTCTTCTGCGGCTCAGCCATTTTCTCGGTGGGCCACTCGATATTTAATTTGGCCACGGCACGAGTTACCACCTCCAAAAGCTCCTCATACTGTGGCGATTTAGGGGGCGAATCCTCATCGACGCCCACCACATCAACCTCCTCGGAGGAAGACAGGCGGAGCTCTGAGCCCGCTCCCCGGGGGGAAGTAACCGCAGCGCAGGCTTCCAATCCCGGCGAACGAGCGCTGGATCTGGCGGGTGAGGAAGAAGATAGGGACTCGCCCGTCTTCTTTCCCTCCGCCAGTTCCAGCTGCGAACCCCACGAGCGTAATCGCCGCTCCGCGGGGAACGCTAGCGAAGGCACCCTCCTCAAAGAGTGCCCTCCGGGAGCGCAGAACATGCATCACAAGACGCTCGCAATGCGAGCAGTCAGCTCTCTCAAGAGCTGACTCAGCATGCTCCGCTCCCAGGCAGACAACGCACAGGCTGTGTGTATCCCCACCCGTAATGAAACGTGGGCAGGGAGGAACACACAGTCTGAAACGCTGCCCACCTTCGCCCCTTAACTGGTGTTTCCTTTTTTCATGTGCTTTTGACATTGTATATTTCTTTTTCTACTTTCTTTCTTTATTTTCTATGGGACAGGCAACACCAAATAAGACTCACAACTGACACATACACAGAGCGCTTGCTGAATGACAGAAAGCTGACGCTGGTCTCACCGCACATGCTTTTATAGCTTCCTGGTCATTATGTCACTCGCCTATGACGTCTCGCCCATCTATTGGTCTGATTACACACGAGCTTCAGAGCCGGTCACGCTGAAGGGCGTTCCCGAAGCGTCCTCCGACACAGCTCGAGTTCCTGAAGAGGAACTTCTCTTGAGTGCACTCTTCTTTTACCCCCAAAATATACACAGACCGGTCAGAAATGTCAGAAAGAAATAAAATAAAAAAAAGAAATGATTAAAAGAAATAACTTTTCTCTCAAAATATCACAGCTGGCCCTTAAGCAGCCACTTCACCACTCCGCACAATGTGCTCAACTACAAGTCTTTGGACTTCAGGCGGATTTAGAATGTTGGATGAAGCGCGAAGGGTTGGCTCAATCAAGTTGATAGGAATAGGTTGGGACGGTACGTCATTTGTCTGACTCGGTGGATCAAGGATTGGGTCGGAATTCCCATCAGGGGACACCCAATATGGTTTCTCACAGGTATTTCCACTAGCACTACCAGGTTCAGTGGGTCCTGGTGTGAGGTCAGCGCTCATTTGTGACAGCATTTCACTCAGAACAGACTCAAAGTTGTTTCCACTCAGCTCTGCTATTTCTTTCAACCTTTCTAGGTAGGACTTGGTTATGCTACTACCCAGTTGCTGCGTAAACACACTGGCTAATGCTCTCACATGGCAGTTAATACCTGGTTCGCTTGATATCTGGTGAATATACGGCAATTGAGGTCCTAGGGACTGCAACGCTCGATCACTGTCATACTCAATTATCACGTTTCGGTAAAACTCAGATTCTCTGTCATCGATACGCACGGTTTTGACAACTGACCCGTATTGTTTCAGAGCATTAAATAATTCGTCATCACTTCCAGTTTCAGTTAAGCCACTGACTATTACGGAATTTGGAATTTTAATCCCTTCAGCTTCGATAATGTCCATTATCATTGCTTGCTTGTGAGCAAAAAACTAATTTTGCCTATTATATGTGCAGCTGTTAGTTCTCAGCAACAGCGCCTCCTCCTGGTTGGCTCGCCAAAGTTTATGTAACACGTGTCTAAGAAATTGAATGGATCAGAAGATTTAGAGATCGTAAAGGAGGGGGCAGGTTGTGGTGAGAAACAACAAACAGGCAAAAATTTTAATTAATAAGTAATTACGTAATTTACACTGTCATACAATAAAGATAAACTATGATAACTTCGCTTGAGTGCACTCTTCTTTTACCCCAAAAATATACACAGACCGGTCAGAAATGTCAGAAAGAAAAAAGAAAAAAAAAGAAATGAATAAAAGAAATAACTTTTCTCTCAAAATATCACAGCTGTCCCGATAAGGACTTCGGTGTCAATCAAATGGTTTATGGGTAACTATATACCATCAATAGTTCAATGTTCTGTAAAGTATTGATCAGTTTCTTCTCTTTTCCCGTCTCTTTTTTTATTGTAAATTCCCTCAAGGAAGGGAACTTAATTCTTTAGATTAGGATCATCTTGCTTTCATAAAGCAAGGCTGATAATTGAAGGAAAGGATATTGTCCTCTTCTTTATGATGTGTCGTCCTCTTTCCTCTGTAGCAGATTTGGTTGGCTCGCCATCAAATGTGAAGTTTCACAGGATGTCACAGAAGATCACAGGGGTGTCACGAATCCGTAGAATCAAGAAGAAAAGAAAAAAAAACACAAAGAAAAAACCTGGCCTCTGTAGCAACTGTTTTTTTTTTCTCTTACTCTTCTCTTACACACTGCGTGTGACCAACAATGGCGTCGTGAACAAGGTGCTTCTCTATCACAGGCGCGTCTGACCAACAATGGCGTCGTGAACTGAAATGAACAATAATCACGCGGTTCACTATGACATTTATAACTACTTAGATCGAAATACAAATGAAAAAAGGGAAATAAACACAGTTTACTGCAACTAAATAACCATTTTTCATCTTATGGCATTTTTAAACATTCTTTTTACCATTGATTATATTATGCTGACTCACCGAGTAAAATGTGACTCAACAATATTCAATCGGCTTCTTCAGATACTGGATGGCTCGAAATAAATCAATTCTAATACTTTGGTACCTTTTTCGGAGGATTTTTAATCTATATTGCTTCAAATTAGATCGTGAAAATCAGATCACGTCTTTTCTTCTCTATCAGGCTCATCTCTTCTGTCATTGCGCATGCTCGTCACCACGCAGGGCGCGCAACGACAGAGAGCTCTCATTGGTCAATAACTAATCTTCTAAATAGGATAAATTTACTAATTTTGAAATGTTCTTTAATAACTTCTACACCTCTTTTCAACTTTTATTAGAGAAATATGATGTTACTTAACTGTGAATAAATTAAATAATTCCCTTCAATTACACTTCATTCAACCGGGGTTACACTTGGTTGCTGTAATCCAATATTCTTGTGATTTGAACATGAACTCTATCACTAGGGCATCAACTATCTTCCCATTGACTCTTAGCTTAGACGCAATTTAAAACTGCTTCTATGATGTTTTAATCTTTTTATTACATAATTAGTAGTGTACTTGGCGTGGTGTTCTATTTTACTACAGAGGAGTAGTGACTGCTAGCACAGTTTATGTCCGGAAGGTAATGATCAACTACATAATATGTAATATACAAATGAAAGTTGATTTCTCTAATATGGGAAGTGGAAATATTGAAAATATTGGGCTTATAGTGACTTCAAAGTCCAAGGTGAACTATAAAGTTAATTTTGTATTAGTTTTCAGCAACAAAGTAGTTACATATTCATACCACAAGAAGGAGACAGTTGCTCTAATATTAGACTCGAGACAAATTTGGAGAGCGACTCACATTCATGTGAGCAGCAGGCTTATTGCTTTAGTATTTGTTAATGTCTGACTGCAAGAAAGACAATATTTGTCTCTGGTAATGATAATACATTAGTCTGCTCATATTGTTGTAGAGTTTTTGCTTAAGTTTAAGCAGTCAAAATTATGATCCTAGTAAGCATTTTCACAATTTCCAGAAAATAAACACTTTAAGTATATTTAATCAATCTGTACACTCCTGACATTTATATTTTTTGTTAATGTTTCTTTTCATAACACACCGTCTATAAAGAGACTGAGCCTGAGGGTCTGTGTCTGACTTTAATAAAAACAATGATTTTACATTTGACTTTGTTTATATTGTTTTGACAATATGACTATGTATTAGACGCAGCAAGACAGACTTATGAATATGTTTAGAGGCATTAAAATGAAATATACATGAAGGCTATGAATATTTTTATTTTATTTTATTTTTTTAAAGAAAAACTCTCAATAGCAATGCTATTATTACAATGCTATTTTGTTTTATCCTGCAACACAAACAAACAAATCAGACTATGCAAATCTCTTAAATAATATTTTAATACTTAAATATATGCTCCAAACAGATGTGTACATAAAAGCATGTGACATGATAGGTTTCCGATAAAACGATCTATCTGTGACATTCAATGAATACAAACTCTCACACCAATGAAATATATCCACTTTTTAAATAATTAATATCACTTAGAAACTTGTTTAGAGTCTATTCATTGATGCAATAACTTGAACATTAGTGTAAATGTATAATAAATTGTGATCATAAAATAGCTTATATGTACAGGTTTGGCAAATTCTCTGATGCAATGTGAGACTGTAAATATGATTCCAATGTGCAGACATTTTTATTATTTACAGCATGCACATTATCCTCTGAAGCATGAAAAATTAATTCAGTCTAGCAAATTTAATTATAGTTATTTTTATTAGTTATATTTCCAATATAATACATTGGTACAGTAACAAAATGTGCTGTGATTCTGAACACAGCAGGTTTATTTCTTAATTAATGTGTGCAATTAAAACAAACAAAACAATGTTAAAGGTATTTCTAAGTTGTAGTGTTATACTTTTAACATATATATATATATATATATATATATATATATATATATATATATATATATATATATATATATATATATTAATATTAAATATCAACACACAACTTGTTTTGCTCAGTGATGACATAAATGAAACATTCTGGACTTGGTAGTGATCTAAATACTGTCACATTCTTTACTATAAATAAACCAAAATGAAAACAAACACTTGATGAGCATGTCTGCACATTGCATAGTGTATTTGTACCATGTTCCAGTTTTATTTATTCCGATGTTCTGTTTCTGTATTAAATCTATTCAATAGCTGGCACTCTAATAGTATGATTAATATCAAATGGACAGTCATTTCCATATTTCTACGTAAAATGTGTAGAGCTGTTTGCCTTTAGCTAAGCAATACCCTTTCCCCCCTATTTTGTCATTATCTGTGAATCAGAGATAATTGGCACTTGAAATGCAGGGGTCACTAAAGAACATTCTTAATTTGAGAGGGGAAGAATAAAATGATCTTGATGAAGAAAGCAAAGTATGCTCCTATTCATAGATTTCAGAAAGAACACGCATTAGCTGAGAACACAATAAAAATCGCATCGCTGCGCCTCTATGGCGCGTCTGTTAGGTCTTGCGTGAGAGAAACCATACTTTCATTGGTTCTTTTTTTCCTTTCATGGTTACAGGTCCTCTGTACTCCAAATTAAACTGCGGATCGGCGTTTTCCATTGACTGCAAACACCTGATCAAAACAACACAATAACAACATTAAATTTATTCACACAAAAACCTTTGTTTAGATTATATTGTATTATATTATAATTAATCTCACAAATTCAATTCAGTTCAGTTCAGTTCTATCCTATACTATTCTATTATTAAAAGTCATGTTGGTTGTGATAATTTGAATGATTGTTTATTTCTGATCTTATATCCTGTCCAGGGGATACAGAAGTAAAAAAAATAATAAAATTGGCTACTTTAATAGTTGACATTTTTTTTGTTTTCACATTGTTTATATTTTAGTCAGTGTACAATTAATATACTTTTTAGAAGGTTATTAAAATCACTGTAAAAAGTAGTACCCTGTAACAGTGCATAGCAATTTTTACCTATGAAAAAAAATATATATATGTGCAATGTACAATGTTCCAGGGTACTACTTTTTACAGTGTTTTTAATAACCTTCTAAAAGTATATTTATTGTACACGGACTATTTCATAAAATATAAACACCGTGAAAACAATCAAAATTGGTGTAGAAACAATTTGCACTCATAAATTCTTAGGGCCAGATTTACTAAACAGGGCAACTTATCATTAGAGCGCAATTCCAAAAAAGCGCCGATGGGAGGGGAAAATTCTCCGGGTGATTTACTGACAATGTGCACATTAAAGAATACAGACGCAGTCAGAACATTTCCATAATGACCAGTGAAATCTACCAAGAGCAGTGCAAATTTTTTTAGGGGGGGGGGTGTTAAATAATGGCACAAATACCAGTAATTTGACGAGTGCAAACGTTAGTAAATCGCGTTGCGTGATTCATTTTAATACTCTCCTCCCATAAATTTTGCGTCTGAAAGGGAAACTCCTACAAATGTATATTCAATAAGGTCAGGCGCAAAATAACTGTGTCCACGCCTTTTCAGCGCTAATTCTTCACTGCGCGTCTTTAGTAAATCCTGACTGTACTATTTTAACGCCAAAAGACGGTTTGCGCTGGCGCAAGATGTTAGTAAATCTGGCACTTAGTATATTTCACAAAACAGTTAACACATTGGATAACTGGAATAGCATTTTCTTGTAAAACGTGCTCAAATCATTTACAACTTCGAGAAATACTTTTTTACAGTGCAGATTTATGTTTTTTTCACCTGCATGTATACTCCGACACATTTATCTTTCCTTTTTCTCCTGTGGTCTCTGTACGACTTGTTAGGTTGACTGTGTTTCCAAACAGGCAGTAACGGGGCATTCTTTGACCTATGACTCCTGTGACCACCTCTCCTGTGTGTATTCCAATGGTGATCTGCTCCAAGACATAACAGTTAGGTAGTAAATGTGTGAAGCCTGAAAATACGTAAACAAATTCACACATAACTCCTTAATATATAAATCACACGTGAACTCTGTCGTAAGTTGATTTGTGCGCACAGATCTGCGCTCGTTTCTACGTTAGATTGATAAATGAGGCCCAATGTCTTTATAATTTGGACAATTTATACAGGGAGAAATCATCGATCACTTTTTTTCATTTATTGCATGCATTTGTCTTTCAATTGCAAAGAACATTCCTCCTCTGAGTGAGACACGCTCTGCCATGTGAACGTGCCAGAGCTGAGCTAACGGTTCAGAAAAAAGTTAATGTGGGTGTATTTTTAAACACTGAAAGGAAGGATGATCTGACGGTGTCTCCCTTTGCCAGACTGTGCTTACTTTTGTGTGCGTGTGTGTCTTTGTGTGAAAGCGTCCATGCCATTCGCCTAATACAGTCCTCCCTCTAATTTAGATGCTCTTAGTGTTCTAGCAGCACATCTTCAACAGTCGCACATATAATAACAAACCTGTGCCGTCTGGTTCAACAAAAGACCCCGACTGAGACTTTACTGCAGACACATCTAACACCTTTGAGATGTATTCTTGAGCTATTCTTAGAAAACATAAAACATCTTTAATACACTGGCTAAAATGTGTCCACACAGGAGCATGTTTTATGATAGTTTTTTTTTTATGAAGGACAGCATGGTGGGTGGGTGCTTGTGTAAGCCCATCAGCCGGGTACACAAAATATGCAAGGTATTTTGTTTAATTTATGCTACTAGGCAGTGCATTAAACAAGTCTAAACATTTAAAGTTAATGTATGCATTAAATTATAAATACACAATGACCAGTATATACTTGTAAATTATATTGCGAGCTTAAAAAAAAAACAGTATACTGTTTTTTCTTTTTCTTTTTGATTTCTGAAGGAACTTTGCTAACGTCTTTTCTGAAACATTGCCAAGGCATATTTTATAAAAGGCGAAGCTAAATGTGGCATGTATTATAGTGGGCTTATGTGAATATTGTTTTAAGTTAACTTGAAGGGTGTTAAATTATAGTTAAATTTGTGTGTATATGTTATATGTTTTGTAATTGTTAATACATGATCAATAAAACTGATAATTTGCAGTTTAGTCCTGGATTTTAATTACACTGTAATGTTGAATGGCTATTAATCATCATTTTATCCCCATGAATTCATAGAAAGATGCCATTAAACAAATCTTTCAAATATCAAATATTTAAAATGCTGGAGATTTAAAATTTGGGAGATTCACTGTGAAAACATATATATAATTAAAAATGTTACTGTTAAACACAATCATGATTAACTGCAGAAACTGGTGTGAATAATTAGCAACTTTTTTGTAATCAACTTTAAAACATTTTTTAAATAACTTCCGTAGTTTTCGGGTTTTGTTATGTCTTAGCAGTTAAATTAATGTTCATTGCATTATTTTAGTGGCAAGTGTGTTACTATGATGGTGTTAAGTATTTGAGTGTATGACACTGTGTGCACCTTCTATATATTAGTATTTACCTCTCAGCTTGTAGAAAAGCTATTTGTGATAATCTTTGATTTATCATGTGGCTTTCTCTTTAGCCCCTGTGTTTTAAAGCGGTTGTCAGTATATAAAGGTAAAAAAAAAATATGTTTAGTAATTTACTATTTTTCACATTATTTCAATTTATGACATACACAATATACAATATATGTTTTTAGTGAAAATGTTTTATGGTATGTGTTTTTTTTTTTTTTTTTTTTTTACAGTTTAGCATGTCTTTCTTTAATTTCAGCACCCAAAATCTGCAATTATGTGTTGTATCTTCCAATGTACTTGAAATCAGCAAATGAAATAAACTAGTTATTACAAAACGTCTCAGGTTACTTATGTAACCATGGTTCCCTGAGTAGGGAGACACTGCATCCTCTAGGGGTCGCTATGGGGAATGCCTCGTCGTGACCCGTGTCTGAAGCATACATTGAAAAAACACCAACTTGTTGGCTGGCGACAGCCATGACGTCACTACCGGTGCGACTATAGTAGGCGTCGGGAGCACACATCATTCACTTCTTCGTCTGAAGCTTGCGTCCGCAGCATGGCAACCCTTGTTCATATTTAAACAGGTTATAATAGTACTAGAGTAGGTTGGACACTAGGTGGTGCGTTGGGATAATTTTCACTGTGCAATTGTCTACACAACTCAAGGCTGTCTAATTCTAAACTTTAAAATATACATTTGTTTTTTATTTATTTTAATTGCACATTTAAATTAAACTGAAGGAAATGATAAATTTACGTGCTTAAGGATTATTTCAAACAAACATCAAGTGTGCCTGTGTGGAAAGTGACTGTGCATGGTCCTTCTTGGGTCTTTCACAAAAACGAGTGAGCGCCATTTTAAATAATTAAAATGGGCCCTATATAATATGCACTGTTGCTTAGTATTAAAATTATAGCTTCAGATGCATGATATTTGTAGGGCCCTATGAAATCCGTTTTATTTTTCCAAAATTAGCCTAAGTTTTATTTTTTCCAAAATCTTTATTTTTTCAGTTTTATTAATTTTTTTTCGTTTAAATTTTTCTGGATGATTATATTAAATTTGAACAAAAAACATGTCTAATTAATTAAAATCATGAAACTTGTTTAATTTAACAGCAATTTAGGCCTATTAAAAGTTTAACAAAAATTACATTCTTATGGCCCAAATTCTGCGCTTTCCATTTAAATTTTTCTGTATTCCATTTGAATGGTTTAATCAAAAACATATATAATTAATTGAATTCATAAAAACAACTTAATTTATAAATTTTATACAATAATAGGGCCCTATGAAATTTTTTTAGAAATTCTATGTTGAGTATTTTCATTTTTCTGGTAATCAAATGAAGGCAAAAACATGAA